CTAGTACATAAATAGCTATTTTCTGCAGTAAAAAAGGATAGAAAAAAAATGCTATTTCATCACCTCAATAATAATCTGAAAATGTCACTTTTCTATCCCGCAAATCATGAGACTTCTGAACAATAACAAATTTTGAAGAAGTTAAATTTGCTGATTCAGATTTCGGCAGGGTAACTACAACTTTTAAGAATTGGAATACATTCCTATTTCAAATATGCAAAGTGATCTCATGAAAGTTTTGTCGGATAATGAACAATATTTGTCCTTGTTTTTCAGTCCACATTCGATTTATTCCCTTCACTTTCATTTGAATTTTTCTACATGATTGATTGCCCGGCAAATATTTTTGATATTCAAAATGCCTTCCGCGACTATTCGCTATGTCTTGAAACTCAAAAGCTAGTATCAGTATCAGATTCAGAATAAAAAACATTCTCCCATCGGTTATTAGTGCCACATTACGTCGGACGTCAATTAACACTCCTGTCGGAAATGCTCAATCTCATTCCGAATTTTACAACAAATTGGTTCACTGGTAGGCGATAATTTAAATAGGTCACAGCCTACAAGGGTCTCATGGTAATCAAAAAATATTTGCAAGCAAAATTTATTCACATTCTGGGAGAGTTTCGTTTAGGTTATCAACCTTTATTTTCAATGAAAAAACCCTATCGCTTCAATGGTCCCAAGTCCTAATTTTTATATAGTTGTGTATAAAAATTGAAAAGAATATATATTCATGACATATATTAGAGGTGGACATACTGCTCAGATAGAATTTAGTTTTTTTTCTATTTGTTCTGTTGGTTGCATAAACTGCTAGGCTTGTTACTGAAATTAGAAATTTAGTCAATAATTGGCAACTTGGACGAAACTCTCTTCTCGAGTGATGATATTTTTTAGTGTTTATAGTTTTTATGAGGTTAACTTGACATGTAGGCAGGAGTCATAAACTCTATCATCATTAAAAAAAGGATCAACTCAGATTACCAATACATACATTCATATTTTCCAATTGGCAATGTCTACGTAGTTCAAAATGCCTGAAAAAGTCATTTCAACTCTCGAAATCTTCAGCAATTTGTTCAAATTTAAATGACAATTCAATTAAACACTATGGTCGCAAAAAGTTATAATTAACCCATGTCTTTCGGCAAGTGATTTGATGGAACTGCCCTTCAAACGTCCTTCAAACAATTTCAAGAAACCGATAGAAATTACGTCACTTCAGAGTAAATTATCCAACAGTACGACGGCCACAGCTTCAATAAAATTATAGAAAATATTAACTTTATGGATTCTATTGAGTTTCGTGAATCAACAATGCTTTGAGACTGAACCGATACACTGAATACAACAACAGATATAATTATGTATCTGATCGGCCATTTTGAAATACCTGATATCTACTCACAAAACATCTCTATTGCATAGATTTAATGGAAATGAAAATGAAATGAATCAATTATTTCATAATCATTTCATAACTATCATTAATTATTATTAATCATCTCTCTAGTAATTACACTGAATCTTTCAATAACAGTCCCACCATCAATGAAAAATTTGAAAACGTTTAATATGATTTCGAAACATCACTTGCATCGACATAATTTTGGTTATCTTCGATGAAACACAAAGTAAAAAATGAAATAAATTCTACTTTACGTACTGACTTTGACATCTTTCATTGCCTTTTGAAGTTCTTCCATGTTGAAACTTAGTTTCGGAATTGAGTTTGCAGCTACTGACAGTCTATATTACGGCAATAAAAAGTTACAGAAAGATTTCTGCTGCTACTGCGAAACTCTGGTCCAAAGTTTCTCACGTTATGTCATCAGGAATCATTCAATGGCAGTGGAAGTTCAAAAAATTATATCCATTCCGTCTAAAAAGAAACAGAGAAAAAACCTACAAGCAGCTTTGCGCAAGGAAGGCAATTACCTCAATTCCAATGAAATCAAGAAAACTGGTGAAAAAGGACCTCTGAAGCGGAACGTTCATTCATGTAGGGATTATTTGGGCTTCTATTCAGAAAATCTTTTGTGGCGACACCGAAAAACTGTTCTTGGAATAATTCATCAGAGCAGAAAGACAAAATCTTCTCCTTAGATATTTAACAATAGATTCTGATTTGGGAGATAAGGTTTATCCAAGGATAAGGACGGATGATGCTTCTTTAGTAGCAAAAAAGGATCCATTCATTTGTAAGTTTGACTCCCGATATTTAAAAAAACATAGGGAATTGCACTTTATGAATGTTGCTTCAAGGAAAATGAGAAAGCTCGGCAGATTTCTGATTGAAATGATAAAACTGCATTCAAATATAAACGTTTTTCAGCATTCTGGAACTACACAATTTTGATTTTATTGCCCAAGCAACGAAGAATGTTGCTGAGCTTGATAATGATAAGCAATCATATACATCCCATACTTTTGCGTTGAATTATGGCACTTCCCTCAATGCTGTGGAGTAGCATTATTGCATGCATTGAAGGGAAAGGGTTTCAGTAAAAATATTTCTACTGCAGAAATTGAAGCTGAACTGAATACTCTGATACAGTTATCGACAGCTCATCGGGAGTTTGAAATATCAAACCAAGCAGGAAGTGATCTGAGTATGAAAAAATGGAATCGTGTCACTCTCATACCATTCGCAAGTGCACATTAGCTGATAAACCGAGTATTGTATATGTAAATCCTTGTTAAGAAATACGTAATACTTTATTACAAAAATGCATATGACAAAAGTGATAACCGAATGACAGACTTCACTGTCTACACACATCGGTAAAATATGACCTATACAGTGTGAAATATAAATGAACATATACAACACCGAGTGAGACTTTCTATAAAACTTTTATGGAAACAGTTTATTGCAGAGTCATTTTGTTGAAAAAATGTTAATGAAACATTTCAGAAGAGTAGTGATTCGTTGCAAAAGATGACGTGTGGTACCTGTATTATTCAGTCAAAATGTTCAAAATCATACAGAAGTTTTACTAAAATATAAACACATTTCATTTAGAAAAACAATCTTTATTTTTTGGACAAAGAAAATCCAAAGAGCCACTATGTGGTTATTAAGTTCTCCAGAGACACGTCAAAGAATGTGAGGTAAAAATTAATAGGCAATAACTTCCACAAAACTGAGAAAACACCCCGCAACTCTATCATAAATTGTCAACATGAACGAGAACGACTTGGAACAACTGGCAACTTCCATGAGATGTATTTCAGACAGCAAAAATAACTAAAATACTTTTGCTTATCGAAGAGAGCACCCTATCTGAGTTCAAAGGTAAAACTTTGGACTAAATAAACCTGAATTTAGAAGAAGGTTCATTAGGTTACGAATATAATGGAAAATCGGAGAGATAAGACAAGATCGAATAGATAAGGAAAATGACGGAAAGCGGATCTCAAAATACTGAAATAAATCAAAAACAAAAAGTTACTGAAAAGAAGAAAAAAATTTTAGTACCGTAGACAGCAGAGCAGATCACACCTCAAAAAAAACTTCCAAAGCACCATGAATGTGAAAAGTTGTTGGAAAATATCCCCAAAAGCAAATAAAAACTGGCTCAAAATCAAAGTTTTCGTTCAAAATAAATATCGTTGAATACCTGCTACTTTTTATTAAATGTTGTAATGTAGTCAGATTTGAGAGAGTTTCTACTTTTGTTTCTTTTTGTTTCTTAATGATTCATTGAGTTTACTAAATACAATAATACATTTTATTTGAACTTGAATTCATTCAATAGGTATTTCCGGTTAAAAGTTACGAGACGGGCGATTGGATGAAAAGTATTATTTTGATCATTATATGTTGAAAACTGAGGGTGTTTTGAATAACCAGTTATCATCGTGATCAAGTAGACATTTAAGTCAAGAACACTTTCTGTTTGCAGGTTATATATGAAATTATATTTCTTTTGTGATATTGAAGAAATATGACAGCATTCATTTGCTGAATATTAATTTAGTAACATTTCTGATGCAACATTTGTGCCAACTATACAAGATGTTTCTAAATTCAGTACAAATGTTTCAAGGGCGTATGCCTGGGGTCGAAATAGGACTTTTTTTCTCTTAAACATTTGTCCGCAATTGCTTTATTTCTGAGATATAGGGGGTGGAAATTTAACAAAAATTATGATATATGCCACTGTTTTTTTATAAATGAATATTATATTTATGGTTGCCCCCTTCTATACATAAAAATGATACTCTGACTTTTTTTCGTACGGCGAAGTTTTCAATTTAAAAAACAAAATGCATTTCATCAAGACTAACGAAAAATCGCATATGTATAAGCACATAAAAACCTTTTATTTTTTAAATCGCAAACCGTCCGTCGGACAAAAAAAGTCAACTGACCATGTTTACGGGAAGAGAGATGACAATTATAAAAATTACACTTATTCGACAAAAAAACAAAAAAGAAAAATGTTTTTTTATGTGTACTTTGCCTGTACCAAAATTTAAAAAATTCGAAGTGGTTTTAGAGATATTGAGAAAGAACTGACTTTTTTGTTGAATTTCAACATTTTGTATCTCAGAAATAAAGCACTTGCGGACACATATTCTGTATATGATGAATGCTCGTACACAATAGAGAAACACAAGGTTTCATTTATCACAAACAAGATCAGGGGCTACTACATTACCGGCTCCATAGTAGCTCATATCCAAAGGAAACTCTGAATTTTCCAGCTGGTGAAAACCGATTTAAGTTTATGAATCGATAGGGATTTCGTGAACTTTCTTTCTTTATTCTTCGAACATATGGGTTTTTCATCACCATCTAAAGTTTCTTCTCTTGTGAATGATTCCAAACGATGTGACAGTCTCAGCTATCCCTTTCTTTGTGGTAGTGGCAGAGAGAGTTCCCAGAATAAATTGAAGGTGACTGATCATTGACCACAATTTCAGTTTCTAGGTGTTGATAGCGAGTTTTAAATGAATACGTTATATGAATGGAATCAAAAACTTACTCTGTGATATCAAGCCTTTCCAGTACCATCTTCAGATTCTTGATCGTCAGTCTTTTGTTATCAATATCATTTTTTAACCTATTTAACCTATCTTCGGCTTGTTTTTTCTCGAGTTCTGTGAGCTCCCTGAAGTTGTTATTGTTATTGCAAATTCGTATAGCACCATGTCTGAGTCCTGGAACGGTCAGTTGCCCCTTCAGACTTTGTATTATATTTTCCTTATCTCTGAGTGCATTTCTGAGGCTTTCCAGTTCTTTCATATCCAATTCTTTCGGTACGGGACGTATTGCCGAAGTTAGACTGATTCCTGCGATGCTACCGTTCTTTTTTCGTCTTGGTGTACTCGACAGAGACACTTCTATACTTGCCATCTGTAAGCAACGTAACGAGTTTGAAATTTATGAATTATGATCTGTTAGTTCAATCACTTTTATTCTTGTTCATCATGTACTTTCAATATGATAATAACCCTTTCAATGAAGGGTATCCTGGTTTTTTGAATTTAAACATAGTTAAAGTTGATTTCAAGTTATATAAATAATACCTCAAAGTTATGTTGCCAGGAGACAAGGTCAATGGATCCAAAGTGGCACCCTATAGGAGTTTTGTTCATCAATCTCCACTCAAAAATTTCGAATAGATTCATTTTATGTATTGAAATATATGGTAAACTAATCAAACATTTTAGTCTACATAATTTTAAACGTATTATGGTCAAAATATTCAATGCCAGTTAACTCTGTTGACTAGATTAGAGAACAATGGTTAAAATGTTATATGGAAAATAACCGAAGTACAGAAAGAAATGAAACAATATTCAAATTCAAAATTTATGTGCAACAAAGAGATTTCAAAATGAAAAAAACAAAACATTTGTACCCTTCAAAGTGGAACGAATACTGAATTGATGTTACGTAAACTGAAATTTCACTTCAGGTCAAATATATATTCAATTTATGAAGAATAATGATGAAGAAAACGTTCCTGAATTTGAAAAATCAGTTTTAAAATATGTTTTTCCGTTAATCAGTCCATTACTTTATTGAAATAATGGTTTGTTGTTGGAAAAAACTCTAGTAATATTGATAACTCGAAGTTTACTTGAAGCTCCTATCTCACTTCAGATTTCTATAATTTTTCTTGGTCTTTCAAACAGAAATGAAAAGGTTCAATTTTTGGTCCTGGAAAAAAATATAAGAAATATCGTACAAGTTCGCATAAGGAATTAATTTTGGGATAAATGAAATTTTACATTATTGAACCCAGGTTATTCTTCATTTTTGAATATACTATGATTTTATAATGTGAAATGAAGTAAATCAGCAAATAAAATACACAGATAGATATAAAGTTAATGAAAATAAAATACACTAGATGTCAATATCCAACAAATTTGATGAACGTATCTTAATTCAGTAGCCTGATTGGGAACAGGCAAACGTGAAGGGCAAAAGAAAAAAAGCAATACTTTTAATAATTCAATGAACTGTGACTAATTTGACACATTTGATCAGTATAAATAGCACATTGAATAACAATATCTAATAATATCAGTATTATTTCTTCAAAACCTGTCATAACATTTCCAACCGTAATATTATTTTCACAGTAATAATTTCAGCTCAGATGACCTGACTCTTTAAATAACAGCTACTGACGACGACGTAACTCAGTCAATATAATATTAGATTCACATTTACATTATGACATCCATAGCAGGTTTCTACTTGGGAAAAAGAGAATATTATTGAAAAAGTACATTTTGAATCTCAAAGGTATCCTTGATCTGAAATGTTCAAATATCGATCGATTTTTTAACGTGTTTCATATTTTGCTAATCTACCTATACGAAACCGAAAAAATTAATGGAAATATTGAAGACAACGAAAATCGAACTCATTTATATGACCCATTGGCGGATCCAGCCAGTTTTGAAGGGGGGGAATGATCAAACGATAACTCTCCAGTATCTCAGTACGAGTGGCGAAAGATGGGAAGGACAAGCGGTGGCTCTTCCCTTTATTCAGCACGCTCGCGGAACATGATTTCCGCAGCGAGTCCGATACCTACTCCCTAAAAAAAGTGTATTTGTATTTCACCGTGAGGATGCATAATGCATTTTGATATAAATGCTGGTAAAAAATAAAGATACGTCAATAGTCGGCATTTTTATAACACATAATTGAATACCGGAAAAAAAATTTAAACAATTTAAAAAATTCCAAACCAAAGGAGGGGGCTGCAGACCCCTCAGCCTTCCCTGGATCCGCCAATGATAAGACATGAATTTGAAATTATAGTTCATTCAATATTATGGGTATAGTCACTATCTCCATGGTTCTCCAACAGCGCCCTCTATAATTGACATGAAGATTATTTTATCAAAGTGGTGCTGTATCTATCGTTGTTTAAGACAACGGTAGATTTTGAAGAAAGAATCAAATATTTTGAGTCAGTTATTTTCATTCACAAATAAGTTCTGAAGCCTTGTTCAGATTGAAAAAAAGTATACCTATATACCTTTAGATATAGCAGCCAAAGATACTTGTGGATTAATAATTGATCGGAAAGCACCTAACGGTATTGCTGAAGGAGCCAAAGATACAATTTCATTGCGGCTTTACATTGAATGGATTTGGAATGACTTATCATGGAACATTCCAGGAGCCATACATTCCTATAGACATGAATTCGTCAATTTTCAATGACATTCACAATGTAGAAACAATTATTTTGGGAATACCGTAACTGGAGAAAGCAAGACGTTTTTGTACGCCAATGTAACGCTTGATTTTGATCATATTTGGAATTACTATTTTTGAGACGTTATTATTTTACAGGTCACTCATCAACTTCCATGGCCCACTGCGGAATAGTAAAAAAGTATATAATTCCAATTACAAAATTGGATATTGCCTTCGAAATTCCGAAATTTACAACCAACATATACAAAAAGTTTCACAATTCCAAAGTTTCTCACCTGAACACGCGTTTCGCTAACCAAGTGAGCATCATTAGTAGATTACTGAAATTCAGTCATTTTCTAACCAAGTTTCGGTCATCTCCCGATTATGCTAACTTGGTTGCCAATCGCACGTCGAAAAACAACATTTTTGTTCTGGTGGCACCAGAGGTACCAAATTCTATTCAAAGTATCGTTGTGTACAACCGGATACAATTTTAGGTCACATATTCCTGGAACAAAAATGTATTATTAAGTGCGTAGAAGTTGAATGAATTTTCATGAAATATTTGTGCAAATACCTTTCATATTGTAAGAAAAATATTTTCTCTTCATATCACCACTGACGGAGAAATATACAGTAGAAAGGTTTTTCCTTTTAAAATTCAACGATACATTTTATATTCTTTGCAAATTCGTGTCCACACAAGGTGGTAGAAACATTATTGGTTTGAAGAATTTTGATTTTTTTTAAATCTTTGGGTATTTTGCACTTTTTGAGTTATTTCCCACTAACTTTTTCAATATATGATAATTTACATTATTAGGACTCCTAGAACTGACCGATACTTGATGAAAATTCATTATAATATATTCAAAAAACACATTTCAATGTGAGATTTTCACTTGAAAGTTTACAAAACCGCGACACGTGTTTCGCTATATAAACATATTCGGGCGTCACATCACTCGACGCCAATACACCAGACGCCCAAAGATGCTATCATTATAGTGAAACACGTATCGCGGTTTTGTTAACTTTCGAGTGGAAATCTCACATCAAAGCGTGTTTTTCGAATAAGAGTATCAAGATTGTACGATGCCAATCTTTTTAACATCTTTCCGGGTAGTATTGACAGTATTACTTTCACTCTGAATCAAAGTATAGTCGAGAAAAAATGAGTACTAAATTCATTAACATCATCCTAGATAAAGATTTGATATTTGAAGACCATCTCAGAGCCACCTCACTCAAAAAACATTCTTCGGGCTGTTCCTTAATGAGGGGAACCTAGAATTTTTAGATGATTAAATTCTTCGATAGCTGAAAGAGGAGGATGTTCCAGAGTCACTTGGATTGTGTGTTGGTACTTCAAAGAATAACTAAATATCAGACATGACAGGAACCTTTTGCAGAGCAATATTCATTGTCAATGAAATTTCGACAGTTTTCATATTACAAACAGCTTGTCTGATAAACAAACATAAATTCCAATTTCCTTTTGTCTTTTCTAACCATTCTGTTAGAAATTTTCTGTTGATAAAATCAACTGAAAACAGTTATATATTTCCTTTGTGAAACCGTACTCACCTTTGCTTCTAATGTCTCCAACTGGGACATTCTTGGCTCTATCTCATTGGTCGGCAGGGTAGTCTGGAAATAGTCAAAATACATATGTGAGGTGAAGAATATCACTTTTATATTTTGCTTCTCCCTCCCTTCATCTTTATATAAAAAATGTAGATAACTTTCGAAGTAAGGAAGAAAGCAATTAGGTTCAAAAATAACTCTTTGCAAAAATATGTAGCACATGCACAAACTGGAAGAAATAGCCCTTCCGAAAAATTACTTTCACATGAAAATTGAATTAAGTGAAAGAAAAAGTAAGAAGTATAATTGAAACACCCTACGCTAGGTGCATTTCCTTTAAAATTATTTCTATTTGAGGCCTGTCATTTGATTGAATCAACTTCATTTATTGAAAAATTTTCCATCTCTGTACTACATCCATCTAGCGGACGAGGGAGTGACATTTTGTTGTTCGCTCCAACTTAGGAAGGGGAATGAAATACTCTGAAAGAATTCCAATTTTCAATTATGGAATATCATTGACTTTGGTCGATGATGGCCACTGTCTTGCACTGATGAGTGGCTAATGAGCCCGAACCCGGTCTGCAAGTGTGCCCGTTCCAAAATTGAAGGTCGACTCTTTCAGTTGTATTGCCAATTGCATATGCAGGATATTTTCTGTGAAGATTTCTGCACTGACGCCTGTCGGATATAATCCAACACCCTTCGTGGTATCAGCCAGGGGAATAATTGTTTTCTGATAGGCGTCAGTCCAGTCAACCTACTGTGTAGGTATATTCGAGACTGGCTTGAACGTTTAATGTTCATTTCTTTAGATTAAATTATTAAATCATTCCATTTAAATTATACGAAAACACAATCTGAGACAATCCCAATCATTAACATACTAACACGAAAATGAGATAGTCTTGAAACGAAGTTGACGTTGTTTGAGAGATACCTACAGCGTTTATCAAAATCATTGAACAGAGAAGACGTATTCAATTATAGCGACGCATTGAAGCTACTGAACATATAATGCAGGATTTTAATGATGTACAGGGTGACATAGACGGTGAAGCCAAAAATTTCGATGAGCAATTAAACGAACGACAGGACTTTGAAAACAAATTTCATTCATTTGAGCTGAATGAATTCTGAAAAACGATGATGCGCAATCAGTCGCATCTAATACTAGTAACAATACAAACAATAGTCGAGATTCGGAGGTTTCACAGTCAAAGCACCTCGAAGGTTTAAGATTGCTAGAGTTGAAGTAGCCTAAAATTGACGGCTCTTAAGAAGTATGGTTAGAATTTCCAGATATTTTTGAGTCATTAATCGACAAGAATCTTCAGATGAATGAAATTAAAAAATTTCATCATTTGAGAGACTCTTTGGTTGGATTCGAATCTCAGGTACAATCGCAAGCAGGCGAATTGAATCAGTGTAATATAGCAGTAGTACAAAATACTATTTTGTCAACAGCTCAAGTATACGTTTCGGATCGCCAAAACGATTTCGTCATAGCTCGTGCTATGACGAAATCGTGCTATGCTATGGATCACAATCGAGCTTCATTACTACAGAAATTCGTCAAAAATTGAAGTTACCCACTGAAAAGACTAACATGACTGTGATAGGTATAAACGGTAAAATGTTATTCATACATAATGAATGTGAAAATAAAATAAAATCAATTCATTCGTGTTGACATGTTTCGTTATATAAAATAACAAAAGCATTACCGTACATTGATCGTAACAGTTTAAACATTTCACTCAACATCAAATTAGCCGATCCTGAGTTCCACATACCAAAAAATATCGATATTCTTATAGGAGCTGAAGCATTTTGGCAGCTTCTATGTAAAGAGAGGTCGACCGTAGATAGACATGCAGGCCTGACGTTACAGAATACGCGATTAAGTTGGATTGTCGCGGGACCATTATAATAGGGGAGCCCAAGCGGGGATTTCAGGATTTACTAAAGCGCGGCAGATTAATATACAAGGGGATACCTTGTACCCGGTTAAGTACCTCCACCAAACATGAGCCCCATATATAAGGCCGCCTGTGAGGGATAAAGGATCATATTAGTAAAAAAAATTGATCATCAGAAATTTTCGAGCGCGTCCGATTGAGGTAGGGTGAGTTAATTACCTACTAAAAAGTGTATATTCCAGTAATCTGACAATTTGAGAGTGACGTAAATAGAGGGGAGGGCAGCAAAGTTGTAAAAAAATAACGTCATTTCAACATTCTCGAGCGTAGCAATTTTTTTTTTATTTTGAAGAAAATAATTCAAAGATAACGAAAAATATATAATCTGACGATTTCCACAAGCCGAAATTACAAAAATTCGTCGATAAAGTTTAATGCGTGCAGCTGTGTGATACCTATAAATTTTTTTGCACATTATAATAATGGCCGCGAGTTTGTGTCAGCTCGAAATCGTCGGATTATTGAATGAGAGCTTTTTTTTGTTGCACTTAACACCCCTTCAAAAAATCTGACGCGCTCGATTAAATTTTTTTTCTTCACACTTTTAACCCTTCCGTACAACCACCCACATCATGCAAACGATCAGATTAACATACCAACATTATTAAAAGTACGTAGGACATTGATGCTATCAATATCTGATGCGCTCGAGTATGTCCATGCAACAGTATTTTTTTACATATTTAAAAATCTATAGTCGCTTTCCTCACCGATGAAAAGGTATATATTATATAACATCTTTTTATTCTAATCATCTAAGGTTTGCAACCTAATATGTCTCAATGACGCTCGAGTAAATCCCCATTTTGCATCGTGAGCTCCCCTGCTATTAGACGGCAATGCATATGGTAAAGGAATCACAAGCAATTTTTGTAAAACGGAAATCCAAGATCAACTTTCTAAATTTTGGGAAGTTGAAGAGATCGAGGTGAAAAGGCCTTAGTCTGCTGAAGAAGCCTGCGAAAAATATATTGTTGACAACTCGTCTTCTGCGAAAGATGGACGATATTAAGTTCCGTTTCCATTCAAAAATCTACCAAATCAGCAAGGCGAATCAAGCGAAATTGCGATTAAACGGTTTATGTCTCCTGAGAAAAGACTTATGTCGAATGAAAAGCTTAGAAAGTATATGTGAGCTTCTTGACTGAATGCGAGCACTTGCGTCACATGACCGAAGTTCTCGATTTGACCAGTAGTAAACCGGATTACTTTATGTCTCATCACGGACTGTTGAAGAAGGAAAGTATGTCCACGAAAATACGAGGTTTTGAATTACGGACATGGAAATCAAATACAGAATTTGTAATAAACAAAATTCACTCTTCAAATATAGTGGAATTTTCAGTTGATAAAGATAACATGGGAAAAAATAGGGTATCTGTTGGGATTGTGATCGCGATGTTTCACCTTTAAAATGAAACAAAACGAAATGAAACGTGATCAGATTACGAAAAGAGCAATTTTTTCTAGGATTGCCACGATCTTCGATACTTTAGGTTTGTTGGGACCTTGTATTATACTCGCGAAGGTTCTTTTACGAAAACTTTGGTCTGAGAACCTTATATGGGATGAACCTATTATGTGATTCCGAAGAATGGCCTAACGTGCACGTTAGGCAGTATTAGTATGCATACTAATATTGCCGAAGTATGCAGACCTACCGGAAAAACGAAAAACTTGTTTTACAGTTTCGAGTTGTGAAGAACATTTTACATTCGATTTGAATTTTCACGCCTCTATATAAACAGATTTATCAAAAACTACAGGGCACCAAAGAATTTACGTAAAACTTCTCACTTAACGAAAGAGGAATCGAATGAATTAAAACGGCACAGAATGAATCCTTCAGTGAAGAAATACTCACTTTTCCTGAAATTTGGCCATTTGGCCAATATCAGGTAGAAGTTTTGCCCGCAAAATAGTACGTAATTGCGTAACGTGTTCACGGTATAATGCGCAGAAAAAATTCAGCCGATAATCAGCGACTACCCGAGGTGCGCGTGAAGCCAACTTTATCATTTTCATCAACCGGAGTTGATTAGGAAGGTCCGTTTATAATGAAAGACAGACCAGGTAGAGGTTGTAAGCCTATCAAATGTTGGGTATCTTTATTTGTTTGCCTTAGCGCTCGTACTATCAATTTAGGAGTAGTTTTGTCATAGAGCAGTAAAGATTTTCTGCATTTCATCGTTCCATTGGACGCCGAGGCAAACCATTGGAGGTATACTCAGACAGCGGAATGAATTTCGTTAAGGCTAATAAAGGATTGGAAGAATTGTACGATTTTATCTAATATGAAAATTTTCTAATTTGTGATTTTGTCGGTATAAAATGACACTTCGTATATACACATCTGTATCAAATATATATATATATNATTTCAAGTTGTATATATTTGATTTTCAAGCCTTACTTATTCGTATTGAATCTGTCCTCAATTCTCGTCCTTTATTTCCTATGAGTGCCTCTCCCGATGACTTAACCTGTCTATCACCGGCACATTTTTTAATTGGAAGAACGATGATGTCGTTACCAGAACCATCTTTGACTCAACCTGTTAACGAAAACCGCCTGACCCAGTACCAACATTTACAATGACTGCTTCAACACTTTTGGACCCGCTGGAGCCGTGAATATCTATGCGAGCTCCAACAAAGAACTCGATGGAAGAGGGACCAGGGCGAACTTCAATTAGGACAATTAGTTCTTGTCCGAGACAACAATCTTCCTCCTGCGATGTGATGACTGGGAAGAGTTGTAGAATTGATCAGGGGTAGAGATGACGTTGACCGAGTTACTGTAATACGTACCGTAACTAACTGGGAAGGTTACTAAAGTACTGAACCGTTTTTGTCCATTACCCATTGTGAGTCAGGAACGCCAGGACAAGTCCGGGGGGCAGTTCAGACCCATCTGTTACGCATCTGTTCAGCGAGAGATGTAGAAACCCTTGCGAGATGATCGACCCTCAAGCAGGCAAGAGTTCAGGAGTTGTTTTACAATTAAGAATATTATTTTTGCCAAACGACACTTTTGTATCATTACATACGTTAGAAAACCAGTATAACAGTTTCACTACACGAATAAT